GAATTTCAGAAGGGAACAAAAAAACACAGACAGAATTCATCGTCGATCCCCCAGAAAATATAGGAAAATAGGGGAAGTGGGGGAGAAGACAGAAACCCAGAAAATATACGAAAATATGCGGAATCGTTTTATTTGCGTGTATTTATTTGTGTGTCCTGGGGCCCCTTCAGAATTGGGCGGGAAGGGCCCACGCCCGAAGCAGGAAACCCTGCATAAAAACACAATTTTGGGAAGTCCGCGCGGACTTCTCCTCTCAGCGCTGGACCCCGCTCCCTGGCGCGCGGAGCGCTCCAGTGGCGGCACCGGAGGCGCCGCCAAGGGGCCCCAGGGCAGATCCGAGAAATCCGCGCGGACCTCCGGAGGCTGAGTTTCGGTGGTGGTTTTGGGCACCTCCCCATCCGAGAGGTCCGAGAGATCCGCGCGGCCCCCCGAAGGCGTGAGGTTCTGGAATCGCTTGGGTCCCCGAGGACCGGCCCCAAGTTCGGGGGCCGATGCTTCGCGGACTTGCGTCGATTGCACGTAGGAGTGGCCTTGCGTCGGAGTGACCTTTGGCGCGGGCGCACTGGGGTCCCCAGATGACTGGACGCGATGCGAGGGCAACGTCTTGCGCGCTGTGGTTTTGCCTCCCCGCGGCTCCCGAACGTTGCGCACCAAAGGTCACTCTTGCCGAGGGTTGAGTCGGGCATTTCCCTTCTTAGGAGGACGATTCAATAATGGTAAAACCACAGCATGGTGACGATCTTCGTGTTTTTTCTAAGTACGTTCGGTATTTGTTGGATAATTATCTTGCACAGGTTGTCTAGGGCTCCGACTACTTTATTTCGGCACGGCATCAGTCGCTGCAGCCCTTAGCTCCCGCCTCCCAGCGCGCCCCCTCCGCATCCACTTTCCTAATTCAGCCATGCTGAAGCAGCCCCTCGGCCCTCCGCATCCCTCCCCCCAAGTCATCGCAGCAAGCCCGCCAGCCAGCGCGCCCCCTTGGCACCAGTCCCACCAACCAGCGCGCCGCCTCCGCCCCGACCGCTGTATTTAGGCACGGCGCTGGTCCTACCAGCCAGCGCGCCCCTCCGCCCCGACCGCTTGATTTCGGCACGGCACCAGTCCTACCAGCCAGCGCGCCCCCTCCGCCCCGACCGCTTTATTTCGGCACGGCACTCCAGCCAGCGCGCCCCCTCCGCCCCGACCGCTTCATTCCGGCATGGCACCAGTCCCAGTGGCCAGCGCCCCTCCCCACCGCCAGCCAGCTCAGCCTACCCACGAGCCCGCGCGCCCGCTCCGCCACGACTATTGTACTTCGGCGCGGCACCGCCCCCCCGCACCCTCCGCGCAGCCAGCCCCTCCGCCTCGACCCCAGCGCGCCCCCTCCGCCCCGACCGCGTTATTCCGGCACGGCACCGCCCCTTTGCCCCCACCCGCCAGCGCGCCCCTTCCGCCCCAACTTCTCTATTTCGGCACGGCACCGCCCACCCACCCCCCGCACCCCCCGCGCAGCTAGCCCTTCCGCCACGAACCCAGAGCGCCCCCTGCGCCCCGACCGTCTTATTTCGGCACGGCGCCGGTCCCACCATCCAGCGCGCCCCCTCCGCCCCGACCGCTTCATTTTGGCACGGTACTGGTCCCACCAGCCAGCGCGCTCCCTCCGCCCTGACCGCTGTATTTAGGCACAGCACCTCCACCCCCCCCACCAGCCAGAGCGCCCCTTCCGCCCCGACTCCTTGATCTAACAGCCAGCGCCCCCGCTCCGCTCCGACAGCTTTATTCGGGCACGGCACGGGTCCGACCAGCCCGACCGCTTCATTTCGGCACGGCAGCGTCCCCCCCACCACCAGCCAGCGCGCCCCCTCCGCCCCGACCGCTTTATTTCGGCACGGCCCCCCCCCGCACCCCCCGCGCAGCCAGCCCCTCCGCCTCGACCCCAGCGCGGGGTTCCGCCCCGACCGCCTTACTTCGGCACGGCATCAGCCCCACCAGCCAGCGCGCCCCTTCCGCCCCGACCGCTTTATTTCGGCACGGCACCAGTCTCACCAGCCAGGATGAGGAGGAGGACGAGGACGAGGACCAACCCGTGAAAGTCTTGCAGTGTTTTACAAAACATGTGCGCGGCGCTAAGGCGAGAGCCTCACTTTGAAAGCCAAATCCGTGAACTTGCTGCAGTTGTTTAAAACAAATGTGCGTGGCGCTAAAGCGAGAGCCACAGTTTGAAAACCACCCGCCCCAAATCCGTGAAACTCTCGCGAATGTTGAAAACGAATGTGCGCGGCGTTAATGCGAGAGCCACAGTTTGAAATTCACCCGTCCTCAATCCGCCAACTTCCTTGCATATGTTTCAACGAGAATGCGCGGCGCTAAGGCGAGAGACACATATTAAAAACCAGCCCCCTTCAACCCGTGGAACTCTTGCAAATGTTGAAAACGAATGTGCTCGGCGCTGAGGCGAGAGCCACATTTTGAAAGCCACCCGCCTTCAATCCGCGCAACTCTTGCACTTGTTAAAAAACGAATGTGCGCGGCGCTGAGGGGAGGGCCACATTTTGAAAACGACCGCCCTCCATCTGTGAAGTTGTTGTCATTGTTTAAGCTTCAGAGTCATAAGTGGTGAGGATGTCTCAGGCGAAACGCCCGACCCGCTTTAAAAACTGGTTTCGGGGTGCGACAGGGGAAAGTTATTAATAAGGAAAAGGAATGGAGGAGGAGGAGGAGGAGGAGGAGGACGAGGAGGAGGAGGAGGAGGAGGAGGAGGAGGAGGAGGAGGAGGGGAGGAGAAGGAGGAAGACCAGGAGGAGCATCAGGAAGAAGAGGAGGAGGAGGAGGAGGCCTACGCCCTGCGCAGGGTGTGCAGGGCTTCAGTGTTCCCAGGCTCTTCATTCCCAGCCGGGCTTGCCAAAGGTAGTTTCTGTGCGGAGCAGGTCGGCGATCTCTGCCCTGCGGAAGCCGTTCTTGTTGGACTGGAGGAGGAGGCGGCGGACCGGCGGCGGATGAGGAGGAGGAGCAGGAGGAGGAGGAGGAGGAGTACGAGGAGGAGGGGGAAGAGGAGGAGGAGGAGGAGGAGGAGGAGGAGGAGGAGGACGAGGAGGGGCAGCCTGGAGGAGGACTGCGCCGTGCTTCGACCTGCTTCGCCCGTTCGACCCGTCGGCGCTGGGCCGCCGAGGTGGGCCTCGCCGGGCAGCTCGCGGCGGCTCGCGCGCGCTGAAGGGCTGCGGCCGTGCCCGTCGGCCGAGCGGTGCGGGGAGCCCTGCTCGGGCCGGCCAATCTTGTCCTGATCTTGGCATCGCTCGGACGTGTGCATGTTTCCTTCGGCGATGAAACGACGCGAAGATCGGGATAAAATCGGATCGGGATAACTCGAAATCTCTGAGAATCGGCGGGTTTGGAGGATGTATTGGGCGCCGCGGCCGCTCCAGAGCGTTCCGGAACGCTCTGAGAGCGCTCCGGAACGCTCTGGAGCGATCTATCCCGATCCTAGCCCTGTTTTACGTGTGCATGTTTCCTTCGGCGGGGACCATCGAGGAGCATCCTCGATCATTTGGCGACAAAACCACGCACGAAACCGAAAAAAACACAGGGGATGGACGTCCGGGCGATGGCGAGGTCCTGATGGCGTTTCGCCAGAGGGTTCCGAGAGGGTATGAGACCTCACAGAGCTTTCCATCCTCCTCCTCGGAGGCGGGGATCCTGAGACCACCCGCTTCGGCAGCGGCCTTGCAGCCGTTTCGCTTGAGACTTCACAGGGTATCCAGGGTTCGTGCTCTCGCCCCAATGCCGGCTACATTTCAGGTCCGGCTTGCCACGATCCCTACAGTGCAAATGGCCGTGGTCTCTCTCTCTCTCTCACCTTTGTCCCATATATCCGACCTCCTACTCCTCGGCCCGCCTCGTCACCGTTGCGCTGCTATTAGGGTGCTTTGCTGGGGTAAGTTGTAGTGCCCTCGTGCGGCGGTCGCGCGTGTGTCCGAGGCGTCAGGGTGCAATTCCTGGGAGGTTAACCCCAGCATCGGCGCTGGTGCATCTGTGGTCGACAGTCGGGGACGGCCAAGAATGGTGGTGATATCCAGCACCCTGGAACAGGGTTGTTCGAGCGTCTGCTGCGCGCTCCACTGCAGCGGGCCTTGTCGGGGCCCCCCAGGAGCGCTCCCTCTACCTCGATCAGTGCGCGTTGCCCTGCGGAGAGGGGCCCAGTCGAACTCGGTGGGACCCACCGCTGCCCCAGCGTTGGCGCCTTGGCCTCAGCCGCCAAGCACCCTCTCGGCACCGCTGCAGGGCTGTGGGGAGGGCCTGGTGCTTTCGTGCCCAGGGCTGGTAGGCTTGCCTCCCTTGGCCTGGACGACGCGCCCTTTTGCGGTGCGATTGGCACGGCGTTCGAGGCGTGCCGCCTTGGCAGTGCTTTGCCGCGATGCTCTCCGAGTCGTGTTGGTTCTCCTCATCGTACCTCTTGGGTTCGAGTAGCCCCGACAGCGAGGCTCCCCTCGGTTCTTTCGGCTCTGGCGCGGCGCTTCAGCTCTGGCCAACGAGCTAGGTCATCTGAGGGCGTGCACATCAGTGACCTGGATACTTGTCCGAATCGCGCGCTCTCTTCCTCATTGTCCCCTCCGATCTCCCTCCTCTCTCTCTCTCTCGATCTCTCTCTCTCTCTCTCTCTCTCTTTTTCTCTCTCTTCCTCTCTCTCTTTCTCTATTTCTCTCTTTCTCTCACTCCCAAATCTCTCCCCCTCCCTTACCCCCCCCCAGGCCCTTCCCCTCTCATTCTCTCTCTTCCTCTCCCCCTCTCCCCCTCCCTCCCTCGCTCCCTCTCCCTCTCTCCCTCTCTCTCTACCTCCCTCTCTCTCGCTCTCTCTCCATCCGTCTCTCTCAACCTCTCTCGATTTCCCTCTCTCTCTCTTTCCCTCTCTCTCTCTCTCTCGCTCCCCCTCCCTCCACCCCCGCCGCCCCCGACATCGGCGAAAACGGCGGCGGCGGCGGAGACGATGACGGCGTCAAGCCTCGCGCCCCCCTCGGCGCCCGAAGGAGGCAGGGGAAGCTCGTGGAGGAGGCCCCCCCCCGCCTGCAACCGCTGCCCGTGCACCGGCGCCGACTCGCCCGTGCGCCCGCGCTGCGCTGACCCCGCGGCCGCGCCCGGGCTCGGGAGGGGGGCGCGAGGGTCAGGGGCGGCCTGGCCGACCCCTCGCAAACCACAGGGGAACAGCAAGTGGCATAAAAATAAAAATTCGGAGGTCTGCGCGGAGTTCTCGGATCGGTCTTGGGGCCTTCCGGCGGCGCCTCCGGCGCCGCCCCAGGGGGGGGGGGTCCAGCGCCGATCCGAGAAACCCGCGCGGACCTCCCAGTTTTTATGTTTATGTCACTTTTTGTTTCCCTAAACCATCCCCTTTCGTGACGTCTTCCTCCCCTCGCCCCGCCCAGAGACGTATGTATGCGACTGCAGGGGGGCTCGAAAGGCGAGGAGGACGTCACGGAAGGGGATGGTTTGCTGGGGGTCGGTTTGGCCGCGCCCGAGAGGGAGTGGCAGGGGGATGCAGGCCTCTTCGGGCAGAAGTGCTTCGAAGGAGAAGAAAGAGCATCTGCGTAAACTTTCGACGCTTCGCGCGAATTTCTTTGATCTGCGCTGGGACCCCCCTGGCGGCGCCTCCAGCGCCGCCCCTGGCGCGCTCCGCGCGCCAGGGAGGGGGGTCCAGCGCCGATCCAAGAAATCCGCACGAAGCGCCCAAAGTTCATGTTCATGCCGCTCTTTCTTCTTCTAGATACAGGCCTCTTCGGGCATTTCGGACGTTTCTTGCGAGCCTCTTGGGGGGGTCCTCACATCAGGGCCCGTACTCCTCTGGAGGCATCCAGAACGTCCTTGGAGGCCCCCAATTTGCCCAGGAGCCTCGCCGAAGATCTTGACCACCAGCGCCGCTGGATCAATGTTTGCTTTCCACTGGGCTATTCGCCCCCATCGTCGCCCCCGAGGGAGGCCGAGCGTTCCAGAGGGATGGACGGGAGGGTGAGGGTTTCTGTGGCTCTGCTGGCTGCTGCAGCTCCTCCTCTTGCTCTCCCCTCCCCTGATGCTCTCCTCCCCTCCCCTCCCCTCCTCCTCTTTCTTTCTGGTGGCGGGGCGACTTTTCGAGCTGCTAAACGGGTGAGGATTCCTGAGGGGTGCAAGCGTTCCAGAGAGATGGGTGCTCCTGCGGGGGGGGGGGAGGGGAGGGAGGGCTAGGACAGGGATAAGTCGTCCCAGAGCGCTCCGGAATGCTCTCAGAGCGCTCTGAGAAGGCCACGGTTCTGGACACGTCCTCCAGAGCCGCCGGATCTCAGAGATCCCCGCTTGTCCTGGTCGAATGTCGTCCCTGCTCTGGCTTCGACTTGAGGGATGGGGAGGGTGGGGAGGGAGAGGAGGACGAAGGAGGGAGGCGAGGCACTCGTTTCGATGATCCAGAAGACATGTTTTAGCCGAGTGTGTGCTTGCCCTGTTCGGCCCTCGTCACATTGTCTGCGCTGTCTTGAAGGGCTCAGGTGGGCAAGCAGAAGTTCGCGCTAACACACGTTCTTAGGATCTACGATCGTTGGAGTCTGGGTTCGACGCATTGCACCGCGAATGCCGCCGTCGACCCTGGGCGATGATGGGGATTTTTGTTTCGCTTTGTTGTGACTCGCGCCTTCTGTAAAGTCGAGTTTGATTCGTAGATTGACCCTGCCAAATCAAGGGTAGACTGGTGCCCTGAGTTCAGCGTCCCATGTCTTCTGCATTCCTGTGGCAATTTGGCCCTCAAGAGTCTGGTGCCCTCTCCCGTGTCTTCTCCAATCAAACCCGACTGCACCACTGAGTATCACTGGGATGGGGCCCAGGCTCAACAAGAATCGAAACGGCAATTTTGTTCAGGCTTTTTGGCATTCTGGGGGGCCGGTTTCGGGCCCAGGAGCCGTCAGAAGACGACTCAGGATGATGAGTTCGCCCCAGGGAGGGGGTCGAGAGATCAAAGGGCCCATGCCTCGACAACAAAGTCGCGCGCGAGATCTTTGGGAAGAATGGGGGAGGAAGGATGGAATAATGAGGATGGAGGAGGAAAGAGGAATGATAGGAGGAAGATGGAGGAGGAGCCGCGGGAACATGAAGATGGTACATAGGACCAGACACGGTGAAGGGAGGAATGAATAGGGAAGGAGGATGTAGAACAGATGATGGAGGGGGAATTGAGAAGAGAGTAGGGCAGAGGATGGAGGGAGGCAGAAGGAAGGAGGAGGACAGTTGTAGAAAGAGGAGGAGGAAGGATGATGGAGGGATGGAGCATGGACGACTCAGGATGGAGGAGGGAGGAGGGAGGGAAAAAGAAAAACCTTTTGCTCTGCTCGCACGGCGCTGCTTGTCACCTTTTGTCTACTCGTCCGGGATCTTGTTCTCATGTGTTCTCGTTCCGGCGGCCCCCACCCTCCTCCTCCATCCTCCCCATCCTCCTCCCTCCTCCTCCGTCCGCCCCTCCTCCTGCATTCGCGGCGAAGGAGGAGGGGATGGGGGGGGGGGGGCGAGGGGGACGGGCGGGGGGGGGGGGTAGAGGGCGTGGAGGAGGAGGGGGGGGGAGTGGTAGAAGGAGGTGGAAGGAGAAGGAGGAGGTGGAAGGAGACGGAGGAGGAGGAGGAGGAGGAGGAGGAGGAGGAGGAGGAGGAGGGGTAACAGCCCTCTGTTAGGCTTCGGCCACGCCATGTCCGTGTTCCCCTCGGTGGGCATCGCCTCCCCTCCCCCCCACGAGGCGAGGGCCGCGCTCCTCACGGAGTCCGGCGGAGGCGCCCAGGGGGGGGCGCCCGGGGGAGCCCGGGTCGGGGCAGGGCTGGCAGCGCGGCGCGAGGGTCAGGTCGGGCATGTCCCCCGACAGCGGGGGGGTTCAGTCGGGCCGGGCGAAAGGGGGGGATTGGGAAAGGGGGGGTTACGAAATTTGCTGCATGCAGCTGGTTTCGGCCTTACCGAGGAGCCCATTCCTCGATACATAGCCGCCTCCCGGCGCCGGGAGGCGCCGGGAAAATCAGCTACGTGAGCTGATTCTCAAACCCCCCCTTTGCTATCCCCCCCTTTCGCCCGACCCGATTCAGGAGGGAAAGAAACACACAGACAGAATGAATCGGCGATTCCCAGGAAAATATAGGAAAATATGGGGAGTGGGGGGGGAAGACAACAACCACAAAAATATTGGAAAATATGGGGAACCCAGTTGTTTGTGCGTATTTCTTTGTGTGTCCCAGGGCCCCTTCAATGTCCCCCGACAGGGGGGGGGGTTGTGGACGAGGAGTCGAAGAAGTAGCCAGAAAGACCCAAGACGTCTTCCAACGTAGTCCACAGATCGTCCCGAGACTATTCTTTTACTTTTTTGGGGGGATCTCCCTCCTGTGCAGTCGGGGCCCTGAAGAAGGAACCCTTTGCGTTGGGGAGGGGCTACGTGTTCCTTGAGTGTTTCGCAGCTTGCCTCAGATTTTTTGCTCAGGATTTTTTGATACGACATCGAAGGTTCACTTATGGAAAATCGGGGCCTCGTTCCTCATTTGGGGTTCCTTAGGCCAACGCCCCTCCTGCAGGGGGGACATGCCCCTCCTTATTTAGGGTCAACGCCCCTCCTTAGGTCAACGCCCCTCCTTATTTAGGGCTCCTCAGGCCAACGCCCCTCCTGCAGGGGGGGACGTGCCCGACGTCGCGGCAGGGGGCGGGGCAGAGAGCGCCCGCGCCACGCCGCTGTCGGCAGCCCGTCGGCATGCGGGTCGTATTCGTTCTCGCCCCCGGCGGCGCCTCTGGCGCCACCCCCGGCGCGCGCCGCGCGCCCGGGGCGGCGATCCTCTCCTCCTCCTCCTCCTCCTCCTCCTCCCCACCTCCTCATCCTTCCTCCTCCTCCTCCTCCTCCTCCTCCTCTCTCGCCCCTGGCGGCGCCTCTGGCGCCGCCCCCGGCGCGCTCCGCGCGCGAGGGGTCGGTCGGGCCGCGCCCAGCGCCGCCCCTGGCGCGCTCCGCGCGCCAGGGAGGGGGGTCCAGCGCCGATCCAAGAAATCCGCACGAAGCGCCCAAAGTTCATGTTCGTGCCGCTCTCTCTTCTCCTCGATACAGGCCTCTTCGGGCATGTCGGACGTTCCTGGCGAGCCTCTTGGGGGGGGTCCTCACATCAGATGGGGGGTCCGGTCCAGCGCAGATCCAAGGACTCTGCGCGGAACGCCACAAGTTGTCTGTGTGCGGCGTGTTTTCTGCCTCTTTTGTTGGTCGAGATCGTGTGTGTGTGTGTGATTTCTGGCGGGGCTGCCATTGGGGGCACGAGCGGAGTGGTCGTGGTCCTGGTGGTGGTCGTGGTGCTCCCCAGGGGCGAGCGGGAACAGGAGTAGCGCTCCGGTCTTGTCTGGGAAGCCTGGCTTTTTATTCAGCAGGAGCACACGTGTCGTTGATGTTGCGTTTGCCAGGCCAGCTGGGACGGAGGTCGTCCGTCGCCTCTGGTGTCTGGGGGACTCGGCTTCGGGCTATGGTACGGGCAAACTATTACCCTGGACGAACAGCAAGACAATGGGGAACGGGTCGGGGTGCCCTGAAGTAGACATCGGATCTCTGTGTCCTATGATCCGCCGCCGCCTCCTTCTCCTCGTTTCCTCTCCCGCCTGCTCCATCGCTTCTTCCAGCTCCTCTCCTGCATATATATATATATATATATATATATATATATATATATATGTATCCTCCTCGTTCCCCCAGCCTGTCTCCTCATCGGCCGTCTCGTCGTCCTCGTTCTATTACCCCTACCATATCAAGCCTTCCTGCAGCAGCAGTCAATCCTAGATGCCGGTCCTCCCGTCTCCTTCCTTCCCTCCCCACCATGAGTCTGATCCGTCTCCTCCCGCTCCTTCTCCGACTTCACCACACAGGCCTGTGGGATCCCTGTGAAACAGCTCTTCTCTGTCATTCGTCTGAGGTTTCATGTGTGTGCTGGATGTGCTGTTTGTTTTAAACAACGCAGGGGTTCTCAGTCGACGCGCGTTTGCGCGCCGATGCGATTGTTGGGCACCGTGTCATGTCAACCCGGAATCGTTGGCGCCGTGACATGCCACAGTCAACCCGCATAGCAGGGATTGGGAATGTACTCCCAACCGTACCCTTGCATCCTTGCCTCCTCGGTCCGTCCTTGGCCGCTTCCGCTGGCCGTGCCGTGCCCGCAACATGTCGACGTGGCCCTCCAAGGTCAGAGGCGACGATAGGGGCGATTAGCCCAGCGCCGATCATATATGTCTTCGAACAGGCTCCTGGGCGAATGCGTGTAATGCCCGCCCCTGGGCTATTCGCCCCTATCGTCGACGCCGACAAGGCCCAGGATAGGACAAAACACACAGACACAATTAATCGTCGATCCCCCGGAAAATATGGGAAGTGGGGGGAAGACAAAAACCCAGAACATATGGGAAAACGTGGGGAATCTTTTTATGTGTGTATTTATTTGTGTGTTTGTGGGCCCCTTCAAAGGCCCTTGCATCCTTACCGCGCATCCTTTTCATCGACCGGTCTCGGCTGTAGGCAGCCTGCGCGACCACCTGCGCAAGCGCCGCCGGTTCCCTGCGCCCGCGGACGCGTCGGGCGCCGGGCCGCCGCCCTCGGGGGCGCCCGCCCTGCTCCGGGTTCTGCTCCTTGCTCTCAGAGCGTGAATTATCTAATTACCCCGCTTTCGCTTCCAGGCAAAACCAAGTCATACCACGCGCCTCCTCGTCAAGCGGCCTGACCAGTACAGGCCGCAGTTTGGCACCGCTTGGTATCTCTTGGAAGGGAGGGTGGTCAAAAGCGAGGTAAGTCTGTTTGCCCCCTACGCTCGGCGTGCTCGCTCCCCGAGTCTCAACTCCTTGCACGTGGGCCCAGCGTCGTCGCCGAGGGGCGAGGAGCAGATGCTGGGGCGGCGAGGACGACGGAGGGCGAGGACGACGAAGGACGTCGCCAAGGACGACGAAAGGCGTCCCTCGTGTCCCTCGTGCTCGTCCTCGTCAGCTCTCCCGCCCGTCGTCGTCCACGTCGTCTCCCTTCCCCGGCACTCGTGTTCCCTGCATGTCCCTGTTCGTCATGCTGTCTTGCTTCTTCTACGCCTTCTCCTTGTTCGCCGGAGCCCCCCCTGGGAGCCTGTCGGGTCCCTCTTTTGGGCCCCCTCGGGGCCTTATGGGGGCTTCCTGAGTGCCCACGAGTCAACGTGTACGGTGCACTTCGATGTTGGATCCCTGTGGAAGCCATCCTGGAACCCGCCCGAGGGTTTCTCGGGGCTCCGTGGGGCCGCTGGGGCTTCCTCCAGCCCCCCCCCGTCCAGGTGCACAGAGCACCCTGGCTTCGGTCCTTGTCGGGGTCATCACGGAGCTCGTTGGAAGGCCTCCTGGGGCCTCCTTCCCCGGGGGCCTCGGGGCCCCGTGGAGGCTCCCCGAGGGCCCCCGAGGCAAGATGCACGGCGCATGTTGACTCTTTGGGTCTTGTGGGGGGGCCCGTCGTCGGGCCTCTCGGGGAGGGGGCGCATGTCAGCCTCGAGGCGGCTGAAGATTGCCGTTGGCGAGCTCAGCGCGACGGCAGGAGACTCCCAGGGCCGCCAGGCCCTGCCCAAGACGGCACGAGGCCCACAAGACGCGGCATTTCTGGCTCAAGCCTTTCTGGCCCAGGAGCCGCTCGCGGCCAGGCGCGACCGCTGCTGCCCCCAGAATGCTCTGCGGGGCAGCCCCGAAGACGCCCGGCGCGGGAGGCGCCCCGGCGGTGACGAGGCGCGGGGCCGCGGCCTTCCGCCTGGTCGTCAAGAACGGCTTCCTCGAGGTGGTGGACGTGGAGCCCAGCCTCACGAGAAGCGGCAGCGATGGCGACCTCTTCCGGCACTCGGGCCGCTGCCCCGCCGCCCGCGCGGGCGGCACGGCCCCGCTCGCGCCCCGCGGCGCCTCGACCCTCGACACCCCGAGGACGGCGTCGACGTCGGTGCAGGACAGCCACGGTCCGGTCGGCGGCCTCGCCAGCGAGGACGAGGACGGCCAGCGCGGGGTGGAGGGCTGGCCGGAGGCTCCGGGTGGCGCCGCGCACGCACCGGTGAGCGCGCGGGCCGTCAGCACGATCGGCACCCAGACTGACGAGCACGCGGATGACATCATTTGTCCGACGTGTGGTTTGGCAGGCGTGCTTCATGTCTGCGGGCACTGGCAGTGCACTACACTGACGTGTCGACCTGCCTGGTATCAGCGGCTGGAGGCCAGGAAATGGCTGGTCCCAACGGGCGCCCACGCCCACGGGCGCTCACGTTGCTCAGACTGCCGCCCCGAGGGCCGTTGCCTCACGGGGGCTTGCCCTCGGTACTGCAACTTACTCTTCAGAAGGGGCACATGCAAGTATGGTGCAAAATGTTCCTGGTGCCACCTGCACGGGCGAGGTCAGCAGATATTCCACAACCGCCGCGTTGCTCGCATCGACCACCGCCACGCCCAAGTTGCCCTGACATCGAACACACCGGAGACCCAGGGCTCTAGCGCCACGGTAAGCGGCACGAAGGTCGATTACGAGAAGGTCGATTGAGCCGATTCCTCACGCGGGTGTTGCGCACAAGCATGGCACGGTGGTACGCCTGACTCTCAGTGTGCTGATCAGCGTTTGTAACCTCTCCCAGTGTGTGTCCTGATGCCAGATTACGAGACTACAGGTGATGTCTTGTATGATGAGGCTTGGATGAGAAACCAAGTTCGATCTGTGGAGCAGATTGCAGCAGCATGCTGTAGGGCAGTTGGGCACCAGAGTTGGACACCAGCGAGCCCGACCGCCCTCCAGGGGCCCGGGCGCGGGTGACCCACGCATCGCTGCATCCGTTTTCGCATCCGCTGCTCTAGGGCAGTGGCCGCAAGGCGCCTCGAGGGCGTCTCCACTCGCAATTCCGACGCCGAACTTGATTACACAAGGCAAGTTTTTCAAACAGGAATTGTCTGTAACTGTATGCCCCTGATAATGGCCCCCTGGGAATGAGAAAGTTCGGGGTTCTGGGGGGATAGCAAGTGGCACGCGTGCCCTGGCTCTTGCACAAAGGAGCTGCGAAGGACTGGAGGCCCGCGCCTCCTTCTTCCAGGGGGAGTGGCCCAGGGGGAGTGGCCGAGGGGAACGAGCTACGACGAACCACGAACCCCGACGAAAATAAAGGGGGGTCCCAACGAGTGGCCCAGGGGAGCCGGGGCTCGGGGGTGGCCCGGGGGAGTGGCCGAGGGGGACGAGCCACGACGAACCACGAACCACGACGAAAATAAGGGGGGGTCTCAACGGGGGGTGGCCCAGGGGAGCTGGGGCTCAGGCTCGGGGGAGGAGCCGAGGGGGACGAACCACGACGAACCACGAACCACGACGAAAATAAGGATGTCCGCGGCCCAGGGGGGCTGTCCTGGGAAGCCTGGACGGAGCAAGCCTCCGAAGGGTGGGTGGCCCAGGGGAGCTGGGGCTCAGGCTCAGGGGAGGGGCCGAGGGGGACGAACCACCACGAACCACGAACCACGACGAAAACAAAGATGTCCGAGCTCTGGAGCACAGCTGTGCAAGAGAATAAGCCTCTCGTCCCGGCCGCTCGCACGGCCCCCTCTCGTCACAGCTGAAATGGTAAGAACCCCAGGATCTTGCCACACGTTCGGAACTTGGGAAAGCTGAGTTGGTAAGAAGCCAACGCCTTCGCCACACGTTCGTGACCTGGGAAAGCTGACATGGTGAGAATCCAATTGCCGTGCCACCCCGTCGTGGGACTGTTACTCGTCTTATGTCGGGCGTGTCCCCCTACAGAGGGATTTTCCACGAACAACAAACAATACACCAAACATATCCCCAAAAAGGTCAAAAAATAATAAAACATAGTCCCCCGACTAGTTTTGGATTGTTTTTTGATTTTTGTTGTTCATCTTTTTATTGTTCGTCGAAAAGCCCCATGTAGGGCGACACGCCCGACATAATACCAGTCAGCATGAGAAGACAGCAACTCCGACTCGTACTTTCGCCGGCGGTGTCGAAATTCGGCCTCACCGCCCCTCTCCCCCGACAAATTCTGTTTTGGCCTGGGATAATCGACACTCAGGGCTCAAGAGGGGGAATGCTTTATTATGGGGTCTGCTCGGTCATCCGTCTCCCCTTGTTCATTGTTCGTTAATCGAGTGTCATTCCCCAAGCATCGTCATCCTCATAGTGCTCCTGATCGTGCTCCTCCTCTCCATGCGATTGGGCGCATCTCATGACTTGCATGGTATTCACAAGTCTCGGGCTTTGCCTCGTGGTGTTTCAAACATGCTGGCTTGGACAACGCAGTCAGAGCACACCATGAATTTCGTTGCGTAGGCGTTGGGCCTCTTGTTGCAGACAGCTTGGACCACTCACGTGCTCGGTGTCTTGCTATGAGAATGAAAGGTCCTCGTAGCTCTCTGATTATTTGCACCTCCCACATCAATCCTAAACATAGCACCGCGGCAAATAACACAGTACTTGGCCATGTTTGCCCGCGTGCTCGACCCCACTGACTCGACCGTGACTGTCGGAGGCGATTATAATGTTGTGCTCTGCGTATGTTCGTGCATTTTCATCGGATACCCGGTCTGACATAGGACCTGGTGGCAACCCAAGCCAGTCCAATGGTATTTTCCCATCCCGGCGCAAGTGGTATTTTCCCATCCCGGAGCAGGCGCTGTATAGCGCCCGCCATTTGCGGCTCCTCGAGTGCAGGGCGGCGCGGCCTTTCCTGCGGGTCTTGGCATTGCTCGGACGTGTGCATTTTTCCTTCGGCGAGGACCATCGAGGAGCATCCTTGAGAATTTGGCGAAAGAGCCACGCACAACACCGAAAAACACAGGGAACGGACGTCCGAGCGATGGCCAGGGGTGGTGCGGTGCCCCCGTTTGCATTCCTCATTTGCCTGCTGCTCCGGTTGTCGAGCTCCTGGGCCGAGGGCCAGGGCCCCGGCTCCGCAGGGCCGTCTGGCCCCTCCTCCCCCTTGCCTGGAGCAGGCGCTGCACAGCGCGCTCATCGCCGCCGCAAGCGGTGCTTTTTTTCACCTCGACGCGTCCCCCCTATGCCTTTATGGGGGAGGAGGAGGGGGAGGAGGAGGAGGAGGAGGAGGAGGAGGAGGAGGGGGAGCACGCGCCGTACAGCGCCATCTTCGGCTCGAGGGCGGGGCGGCGCGGCCCTCCCCGCGGGAGCGGGGCAGCGCGTGCACGCCCTCGGCCTGTTGCAGACCACCGGTCGGATGCGTGGCATCGCTCGGACGCGTGCGTTTTTCCTTCGGCGAGGACCGTCGAGGAGCATCCTTGATCGTTTTGACGAACGAACTACACACACCCATACCCATAGGGAGGTCGTTGGGAGGAGGACTGGCTATGGGTATGGGCGCCGTTTGTCGGACCCTGGGGAACGCTCCCGTTCGAGCGGGGACCCCCATCCGACAACACGCACCCATAGCCCTCTCCGATCCCCCTATGGGTATGGGTGTGTGTTGTTGGTTCGTCACATTTCGCGAAAAAAACACGCACGAAACCGAAACAAGCACAGGGAATGGACGTCCGAGCGATGGCCAGATGGGCACCCACGGAGCGCGCCCGCTCGCCCCCTCTGTGCTGACGCCGCTTCTCCATGTCCTCGTCAAAGCGCTGCGGGCTCCAAGAGCTGGTAGCTGGCGTGGCGACTGGACCTGGCGGGTACCGACGGTCAGGCGGGGTTTGACTTCGCGATGCCGTCGCCATCAGTTTGAGCAGCCCAGGCGGCCCTTGGGAGCCAAGCTCAGACATGGTTCGTGGCTTAGCTGCGCTGGCTCAGGCAGCGCGTCTCGAGTTTGCATACGTTTTGTCGTGGTGGCAGTGGTCGCCCCGGGCACCTCCAGAACCCTGCGTCCAGGAAGGGACACGAGCACCGCTGCGGAGAGAGACGCGCGGCGAAGGTGGGCGGATGAGACCTCGGGCATGAGCCTCCGAACATCGAGTGGACAAGTGAATCAAACTGTCAGGGCTGACTGTTTCGTTGTTGCAAATGCTGTGTTGGGGGTGCTTGCTTTTGCAAATGGTACTCCCATCCATAGTGTTCTCCGCCCTCTCGTTCCGTGTCCACCACGGTGGAGGTGATGATGAGGATAATGATGAGGAGGATGAGGATGTTGAGCACTAGCATACGGAAGAGCGGGATGCGGAAGAGAATAAGTTGTTGGAGGGGGAGGATCGGGAGGGTTAGGAGGAGGATGACGTGAGTGCTTTGAAACACGAGAGGTGAGGAGCAGGAGGGTGCGGAGATGAGGACGGTGTGAGGGGGCATTTGTAGCATGAATTGACGCATTCCGTTAAAGGATTCGATTGGCTTGCGGACTCGAGGTGGGGTTCGGGATTGGGTGGCAGAGGGTATTTTCTTCGCCTACGGCACTTTGTGTCCCCGCAGAGGGTCAGACGGACTCCTCTCTCCTCCTCCCCCGCTTTTCCTCCTCTTCCTCCTCCTCCCTCCTTCCTCCCTCCTCCCCCCCTCCTCCCGCAAGCGTGACCAGCATCGGCGCCGTCTGTTAGTCTTGCCGAAATCACTGTCATCATCGCCACGGGCATCGCTACTACCTGGATTGCACCACCTGGATTGCACGGCGTACGTGGCACCACATCGATTGACCCACGTCGATTGCATAGCACATATTGCTAGAACCATGCTGTGTGGCGCCCACGCTTGCTTACATTTCCCGAACAGTGCTTGAACGTTAGGATTCTTGCTTGTCTTCTGAGAAACCTGGCCTGGATGTCAGTCCGGGGGGTCCCTGTTCGCCATCGTCGCCTCGCCGCTGCCTCGTTGGCGCCCGTCGTTTTGGCCTGCTTGTCGGTCTGACGGCTCCTTATTTGCCGTCGCTACCCCGTCGCCGCATCGTCGCCGCCTAGCGTCTGGGCCGGGCTTGCGGCATGGCGGTTCTGTGGTCATGGTCGCCGCAACGTCGCCGATCAGATTGCGCAAAATCGAGTGCACCACGTAGATTGCACCACCTAGAATGCGCCACGTAGGAAACACCACCACGCAGGAAACACATCGATTGCACAACATAGATTGCACAGAGTATACTGCGCAAGACACAGATTGCACGACGTTGATTGCACAACCAAGGCTGGCCCACATAGATTTCCCTAGATATTTTGCAGAACATAGGTTGCACAACATGTATTCCTAAGCATAGATTTCACAACATACGCATCTTCGCACCACGTATATTGCATCACATAGATTGCGGTCTTCAGGGGTTGCACAGCTGTTTGGGCTCGACGCTGTCTAACATTTCGTCGGTGGGAAATCGCTTATTCAGGGTCCGGTGTGTTCGTCCCTCGAGACTGCGAGGCGACCGGCTCCGAGGAAGGCAAGCGAGGCCCCGCTATCCGATTAGCATGAGCTGTTCGAGACACTGGCCCCGCCTCTCGACCACGGTTTTTTTGCGTCCCGATGGATCATTCGACGATCCCCGCAGACCGTTTCGACCTTGTGCGAGCCCCGCCGGATGTCTCGGGGAGGACGGTGCCCTCCCCCCCGCGGGAAGTGGAGGCTCCTCGGCACTTCCAGGCCCTGCCCGGCGCCGCCCATGCCGCCGATTGCCGCGGGCCGCCCGACGGCGACGGAAACGACGAGGTTGAGGATGACGACGACGACGACGACGACGACGACGACGACGACGACGACGACGACGACGAGGGCGACGACGACGACGATGATGACGACGATGTTTGCTACGCAGTTCGACGGGGGACGGGCGTGGGGTTTAGGGTTTGGGGTATCGCCCCGCGCAGCGCCCGACAGTCAGGGCACCCTGCCCCCTTCTGGAAGGCTTGATTGGGGGGAGATTTAGCCGACCCGATCAAGCTTGGCGAAGAAGCAAGAGCTGCAACATCTTCCCACCCTGGCCGCGGCCGGCGACCTCCCAAGCTACAGTTTTTTAGGGTTCGGGGGCAAGCCCCTTCGACTCCCAACTCGCGCTTGCGATTGGGGACTTGCGAGGCCGCCAAGCATGCGGCCTTCGTCAAGCATGAGCCATGCTTTCCAGAGTTTTTCAGGAGCGTCCCAGGCGTCTCCGGCGCGCCCCACGGCTTGCTGGAGAGTTCCAGAAACCGCCCAGCGCCTCCCAGTCGTGCCCCTGACGCTCCAGGCGCGCCCAGGAGAGCCCAGCGCGTCGCGCACAGGTTGTGACGTGTCGGAGGGTAGCCCCGGCAGTCAGAAACGCCAGAGTTGCCGGGCTCGGTGTCTTGATCTGTTTGAACATCCATGGGAGTTTATCGAGCTGCCTGGCGACCCACCTTGGCGACCTGCTGCAGCATCTCAGAGAAGCCGTGTCCTTCGCGGAATTCGTCAAGGACACGCGGTGGGTTGGGTAGATGCACGAGGAGATGCTCTGGAATTAGGACGGGGCTTCCTGGGCGCCCTCTTGGGACATACTGGGGCCGCTTGGGTTACGTCATGCCTGTCCCCCATACAGAGGGATTTTCGACGAAAATAAATTAGCCTGGCGAATACTGCAAATATGAATATCGTTTTCGGTGGCGCTACCTCTGGGTAGGGGAAACGCATGCGAACACCCCCACTGGGGCCTTCGGTGGAGCCCCCTATGGGGCTACGAAGCGCTGCCCTGGGTGGGGGAGCCGCATGCGGACACCCCCACTGGGGCCCTCGGCGGGAGCTCCCTATGGGGCCACGAAGCGCTGCCCTGGGTGGGGGAACCGCATGCGGACACCCCCGTTGGGGCCTTCGGTGGAGCTCCCTATGGGGCCACGAAACGCTGCCCTGGGTGGGGGAATCGCATGCGGACACTCCCACTGGGGCCTTCGGTGGAGCTCCCTATGGGGCCACGAAGCGCTGCCCTGGGTGGGGGAACCGCATGCGGACACCCCCACTGGGGCCTTCGGTGGAGCTCCCTATGGGGCCACGAAGCGCTGCCCTGGGTGAGGGGAACCGCATGCGGACACTCCCGCTGGGGCCTTCGGTGGAGCTCCCTATGGGGCTACGAAGCGCTGCCCTGGGTGGGGGAACCGCAGACACCCCCACTGGGGCCTTCGGTGAAACTCTCTATGGGGCCACGCAGCGCTGCCCTGGGTGGGGGAACCGCGTGCGGACACCCCCACTGGGGCCTTCGGTGGAGCTCCCTATGGGGCTACGAAACTGTAAGAGGTGTGCCGAGAGCAAAGGCAACGAGGGGGAGGAGGGAGGATGGGGAGGAGGGCAGGAAGGAAGGAAGGAAGGAAGGAAGGAGGAACGCGGGGCGCCGTTTCTTCAAAACGAGGACCCATCACCACAGGATGGTTGGGAAAAATAGCCAAAAGATGCCCCAAAATGGTCAACAAATTTTGGAAACATAGTCTCCAGACTATTATTGGACAATTGTTTGGCTACTTTTGGGGTAATCCTTCGTAGAAAATCCTCCTGTATGGGGACAGGCCCGACGGAACGCCTGGGCCGTCCTGGCGCGGTCTCGGGCAGCCTCGGGGCCCCCATCGGACAGTCCGGGGGGGCCTTCCTGCTCCCACTTAGGCTTGGCATCGCTCGGACGCGTGCGTTGTTCCTTCGGCGAGGACCGTCGAGGAGCATCCTGGATCATTTTGGCGAACGAACAACACACACCCATACCCATAGGGAGGTCGTTGGGAGGAGGACTGGCTATGGGTATGGGTGCGGGTTGTCGGACCCTGGGGAACGCTCCCGCACGAAACCGAACAAAACACAGGGAATGGACGTCCGAGCGATGCCCAGTAGGGTCCTCCCCCCCCGCCTCGGGCCAGGTCGCGCGACCAGCCCCCAGGGAGCCACGCGGGGAGCCCCGAGGATGCCCAGCCCGGAACTCGGGGTCGCCGGCGCCCTGCGCACAGGCACAATGAATCGTCCACTCCCAGGAGAAGAGGGGAAACTACGGGCAGCGGGGGGGGAAGACAGGAGCCCTGAAAGCAGGGGAAGACAGGGGGACGATTTTTTATGTGTATGTGTGTGTTTATGGTGTGTGTGTGTGTGTGTGTGTGTGTCCTTGGGCCCCTTCACAACTCAGAGGGTTCGAAGGACCCCGGGCCCTTTCGCTCCGAGCCACGGGGCACGGCGGCGGAGGCGCGCACGCAGCCGTGCGGCACCGCCCCTGCGATGCGCTTCGCTCTCGCGCGGTCTTCGCTCCGCTTCCCAGGGAGGGCGGGGGCAGGGTTGGGGAAGAGGCGGGAGAGAGGCAGAGGGCCCGAGAGAGAGGGAGAGGGAGAGGGAGAGGGGGGTCATCGGCTGGGCTCTGCTGGACGCGGCGCCCGCGCAGTGCCGGCCCTGCGGCTCCGCGCGGAGCATGGCGGCGGGCCGGGGGCCAGGCGGCGGCGGCGGGTAGCCTGTTCCATATTCCTCATTTGCGCACGTGCTTTGTTGGATTCGTGGTGGAACTGCGAGAAAGAGAGAGAGAGAGAGAGAGAGAGAAAACGGCAGAGCGAGAGAGAGAGAGAGAGAAAAGGAGAGACAGAGACCGAGAGACAGGCAGAGAAGGAGGTATAGGGAGAGCAGGGGCAGTGGTAACGATAGGGAAGGCGGGGAGGCGGAAGGGGGAAACAGGGGAGGGGGTTCGGGAGGGGGAGTGGGAGCTGGGCGGAGGGACCGCAGGACTCGATGGGAACTCCTGTCCTGAAGCCCTTCCCTGCCCTGCCGCGTCTACTCTCCTCGGCAAGAGGAGGATATGACGAACCAGTCCTGGCATCCTCGCTTCGGCGGCCCAACCCCGCTTGGCGTCTGCCGTTCTGGGGCTGCCGCCCTCCACCCCCTCCGCCCGGAGTTCCTCCGCCTCCTCCCTCCCTGCCCCTCTCCTCATCGTCTCCTTTCTCTTGCCGTCCTGCCCTCTTCGTCTCCGTCCCCTCTCCTTTCGCACCCTTCTCACACAAACTTATCCGCATCCTCCTTCCTTTTCCCGCAGCTCCTCCTATTGTTGACCCTCCTCCGTCTTCTCCTCCTCCTTTTCTTCCTCACCCCTATCTCTCCACAACCCTGCATTCTCATGTCCTCCTTCCCCGCTGCCGCACGGTGAGTGCACCGCACCAAGGCGACGGGCTGGTGATGAAGGGCCGCGCCAAGGCCATACCTGCTCCGCCAGGGGGGGGCGAAGCGAGAAAAGGGAACAAGGACCCTAAGATCCGAGCGTCGCAACTCTGTCCATTTCATGCGTATGTTCTTTGATCCAGGCCCCAATACCCTCACGAATCGAAGTCTGGCCCAAGAAATTCAGACCAGGAAGTTGGGGTCCAGGGCCCAGGTCGCATTTCTTGCCCATGTTGCACGTTCCTCGCAATGTCAGAACTCAGGGGAGGAGGAGGCGGAGGATGAGGAGGGATGGTTTACACGCGTGGGGGCGGGGGCGGGAGAGGGTTGGGAGCGGGCTGTCGGCTAGGCCTCCCAAGTGAAGCGAGAGTAGCTAGATGGGATCGGACTGTCGCGCCGCATCGCCGATGCATCGGCGATGCGATTCGGCGCAGAGCTGGATTCGATGCTCCACGCCACCGTTTCCGATGCATCGCTGGCGTCGCCGATGCATCGGCGATGTGGCGCGATCCTCCGACCCATCCACTCGGACCATGTTGGTAGGCCTCTTCGGTAGCGGGCCGTCGGGCGGAGTGGTTTCGGGTTCAGAACAGGGGTATGGTCAGCGTTCTGGTCGGCCGAGTCCCGTCTGGCGATGCCCAGAAAGCCCGAGTGGTGGTTTGCTTGATTGCGTCCGTGCGGTGGCAGTTCACAGCTGATTGGTCAGGTCAGTGCTCTGGCGGCCTCAGCGGCAGTCAAGCAGCAACCTTGGAACCCAGCGCTGACCCAGCTGTTGTTCTGTTCCCCACGAGTGGTTTGCTGAACCAGTCGGAGGAGAAGGAGGGATCCAATTCCATTCAACGAGTCAGTTCGCCTCCCTCCCCAGGGAAGCTTAGTTCTGCATCGGCGCGTGCACCGTACCTGTAGTCGAGTCTGGTTTCTCGGCCCCACCTCCTTCAGCATGAAGTGTCGGTTTTAATACATGTTCCGCGTGCGGATCATGTATTACAAGTGCAGGGGTTTAATCTTAACAACAACGGTTAGCTCATGCATACATGGATTCATATATTGATCATGTATTAAAAATCATATATATATATATACCCTATGTATTAAACAACTGCCCTGTATACTCGTCCCATCGCTCCGCGGGGCGAAGCAGCAGCACGAGCAGGAAGCGGCTGAGAGCAGGGGCAGGATCAGAAGGTCGAACAAAGGGGGAAGAGGAGGGAGGGATGGAGGAGGGGGGCGAGGGTGGACGGGGAGGCAGAAAAAAGGAGAGACCATGAAGAGGAGTGGGAAGACTGACGAGGAGGAGCAGGGAGGAGGAGGAGGAGCAGGGAGCAGGAGGCCGTGAGGAGTATGCTGTGGAAGAGAGCAGGATCAATTGGAGAGTGCGGAGTGCCACGAGAGGGGGGAGGATGAACGGCAGGAGGAAGTGCACTAGGTTGAGTAAGGAGGAGGACGAGGACGAGGACGAGGACGAGCAGGAGGAGGATAAACCCAATCTTCATCAACGATGCTGCAATACAACATCCTCCAAGGTC